CAGACTAATAAAATTGCTCATAAAATTCAAGCACCTTTAAAGCGAGATTTGTTAAGTAAACAATTTGCCGGAGTCTGGAAAAAATAGAATGTATAGATTTAAATAACCGCTAATATAAAATGAGGAAAATTCTCTTCTTGGAATATATAAGAAAAAAAATCCTATCAAGTAAAACTAGAGAAGTGAGAGGCGCTGATGAATCATTAAGATTTAAAAATGGAATATAGAATGCCTTGAAAGAAAAACACTGAGTGAATGCAAATAATCGAAGGTAATACAAAGTAATTGTTTAATTTTATGGGAAACGAGAATATTGACACATATTGAAGAATTATGAGATGAATATATAAATAACCGGTGGACAGGAAAATTTCTGGATAACAAGCATTATGCAACAGTCGTAACTCCCATGCTACGAACAAGGCCGCCAGGTCCAGGAAGAAATGTGCTACCAGTCAGATCAAAGTCTACCTGGCGAGCTGCTTGTCGGCCCTCGTTAATTGCGTTGACAACAAGAGATTGACCGCGTCGACAGTCTAGTAATAAAGAAAAAGAATATTGACAAAAACAATAAACTTGCTGTACAAGAGCAGAAGATTCGTAAATAGGATCGCTCGTCAGTTTGGGCAAGGTACATCGGTTCTCAGAGCTCACATCTGTTTCAAACCAATTATACCTATTGCCCCAGTTATAATAGCAATAGTAAATCTCAAATAAACCAGGCATGCAATGATAAAAATTGAAAAATATAATTGAATTTTATTTAGGGAGCCATAAATAAAAGCAAAGTGAGGAGAATGGAGAAGGTGCTTAAGTATGAAGAATCAAGATTTGTTGGTTATAGCTTAAATGTTACGGACTCCGAAAGCCTATGGGAACAAGATGTATAAGAACTACTAATGGACCAGTGTAAAGGCCACATGTGAGGACAGGCGATGAGAAATAGTCATATAAGGGCTAAGATTAAGACTAGGGTTTCGAGAGGTTAATAGTATATGTATTTAAATCATAATAACTTATTGCGGGGACATTAATTTCCTATGAAAGTGCATGATGAAGAGATTCGTAGGTCGATACCACCAGAAAAGGACGAATAAATCATGTTGCACTGCAGCCGTTTGGCTTTTATACGAAGTTCAGGTTGACACAGTCCACGAGACCTCCTTCGGGATGAGGTTTTCATCCGAAACGAGGGAGGAGATCTCATAGACTGCGTCAACCTGAACGTTGTATAAAGGCCAAACGGCTGCAGTACAACAGGATTCATCCGTCCTCTTCTGTTGAGATCGACCTACTCATCTCTTCTTCATGCAATTTCATACGAAATGAAAGTCCCCCAACAATGTTATCTCAGGAGATCCATATAAACCCAGTTTCTCTTCGTATCCATAATAACTTAGTTATTGTAGCTGGCTTAATGATGCAAGGACCGATACATAAGTTTTTGCTCAGACTTATTTGAGTAAGAAAATGCCATTTACTTTCAGATAAATTGCCTCAAAAAATTTTATTTTATCCAGAATGGACTATAGCTCCAGCCACACCCAGGTATCAGTATCACCTTCAAACGGACACAAAACGGAATCATGTATATCATAATTACATACCACAACATAGCCATGGATGTCAGTGAGTCACAGGGCAATATTATTTTAAAGGAAAGACACAAGTTTACAAAGCAATTTTTAATGTTGGATTGTTGATGATACAAATATTGTAATCGTTGAAGTTTCTAATATACCGAATGAATATATATCATAAAATGTCAGTCCTTAAATCACAGCAGGCCAACTAGGGTGACAAAGTTATAAGTAAAGAATAAAAGATAATCTTAAAAACTACTATCATTAAAATGAGTAACGGCTTCGACAAAAACTGAAACTATCAGTATGAATAATCGACATTCCTAATATAAGTGTGGCCTAGGAGAATCCAGAATTACGTTACAAGTCTCATGTGCCAAGCAAGAGGTACACGACTCGGCTTAAATCCCATCGAGAGTATCAGTAATTTTTAAATAACAGTTTGATCATGTTAAGTCGCTCAAGATAATTTAAAGGCTCTCAATTCAAATATCTCACAACGATACGAAATGCCTCACTATACCATTGTATTTCACCTGGTCTGGATTCCCTAAAGGTTCCCTTATCTATGTTAGGTTGCAGTTCCTACCCTTAAATGAACTCGAAACCGTATCATGTGCATCACCACAAGAATAATGACCTGATACGAGATCAAGATAGGAATTATGATGAGACCTAGGTAAGGTATAGATTTAGTTCAATCTGAACAAGTAAATCATCTCACGACAAGGAGTTCTCATCCAGGGTGAACCCATAATGATAAAATTCTTTTTATTGGCAAGCCCTTTAGGATCAGGTTGGTTATTCTCTTGTACTCGTTGCCACTTCTCGAGAAAGCTCATTACAAAATATATGCCATCTAGGTTGCGACTTTTGATTTATTATTGAGAGATTCAGAAAATATTTTAAAATATGATAGAAAATTTTCATCAAATTAGTTGACGAAAAACAAAACAAAATATGAAAAGAGAATACAAAAAGGAATTTGTTTTCAAGGAATTTGTTTTCAGGGAATTCATTAATTAATTCATGTTTTAACAGCTTTAACCTTTCCTGGAAAGGCGAATAAAAAGGATTCATAAACTGGCTCAACTGAAGCTTAGGAGGATTGTCTTGGGTCCCTGTGAAGAAATCCTCCTGGATTCGGATAAATTCGTTCTGAGAGCTCGTATGGCATCAGAAAGTAAAACCGCGCTTTGCAAAACTTAACTACGTGTCAAGACCAAAAAAAGAAATGCTGGTATGATTGTACAGCTACAAATTGACTAAATCAATTTTAGTTTGGCTTAAAATATAAAGGAAAAATGTTATGAAATTTGGTTTGGTCTGAGTCTCTCTCAACAGCATAATGTTGGTTTGATTTCGTTTGCGCAACTTGATCGGATAGACAATGTAGGGGGTACTTAGTCATGACTGCTCAGTCACTCAATTGACTAAACTCATTCACATCAAGATGCTGACCAATTAGTATATTTCTATTTACTCTTTTTTATTTAGTTTACCTGTAAAATCTCAATTGCATGCAAATAATTTAATTGAAGAGCGATTTTGATCTTTGGGCACACAAGCTTTCACAGGCTATTTTATGATAGACAGA